CACACACACACACATGATTGATCCCATCTCGTAGACGGCGTGCGTCCTCCGCTAAACCACCCTGTCACCTGCCTAATTATTAGTTAAATATGTGTTAAACTAGACAAGATGCTAGCATGCCAGGAGCTCACCAAAGCTCCATCACAAATGACAAACATCGGATGGCTGCTGGACAACAACACGAGGGAAAAACGGAAAGAGGAAAAGGAATACTGATATAAATCCCGTGCAATCGAGTCAAGTTACGGGCAGTCCGTAACAGCAAGCTGGATGAAAGGCTTAGTTAGTTACCCACCTACAACCTCCCCTCCAACCCCAAACTCTCCCACAACTCTTGTCTCCCTTCCCCCTCCTTCATCCCCTCCAGCAAAACCTCCGAACACCTTTCCCATATCTCCCTACATATCCTCTTCCTCCCTACAGCCGTATTCTTCCACACCTTCCATTCCCCTTCAACCCTCTCCAACTCTTCCGCAGAAACAAGCCGACTCTCCGCCCCTTCCCTCTTCCAATCCTTCTCCCTCAATGGCTTAAGACGAACCAACAACTCCTCCCGCTCCCTCTCCAACCCGCACACAATGCCACGCAACTTCCCCGTAGAGACCCGCGCATTCAACGTGCCTAGCTCCGAACGGAGGGATTTTTCATTTGCTTTTGTCGAGGCGAGCTGGACGCGGAGGTTCTCGATTTCTTGGTCTAGAGCGGTGAGTTTGGACGGAGTGGAGTCTGAAGGTGCGTCTTGGAGGGCGTGGTAAACGATTTGTTTGCCTGCCACTGGTTATTGATTGGGTATCGGCCGGTGGCGTAGATATAATATATTTATGTCTACCTGCAGCTCGTCCCTCAATCTCCTTCCTGTCATGCATCTCCTTCAACGCCTTGACCGTGTATGCTGCTCCCCGCAAAGCATTTTCTTCAGTAAGAATATGCCCATTTTATTTTCTCTTCTACAAAGACACATAGAGCTCTGATACGGGCAAAGCCGAGATAGCGTATATTACGATATGCCCATATAACTTACCTTTGCTCACTTTATTATGCAAGTTGGCGGTGATATCAATCGCCTTGTGTTGCTAAGTTAGCTAATAGCCAAACCCCCTTATTTCTGCTTGTGGTTGGCAACGAGGGAAGAGCAGGGTAGAATTTCG